TACTAGGGTAGCCTGTCCACTGTGGCTCAGTGGTTGAGCAACAATCAGCAAACCAGGAGGTCAAGTTCAACTCCCAGTCAGGGCATGTGCCCTGGTTGCAGGCTGGAGTTCCCCAGTAGGGGGCATGCGGGAGGCAGCTGATCCATGATTCTCTCTCATCATTGATGTTTCTATCTCTCTCCCTCTCCCTTCCTCTCTCTGAAATCAATAATATATATTAAGATGTATTCTTTTCCTTTTATACTTTACTTTTCTGCCTTTTACTGTTATTAGAAAATTATAAAAAGAGATAAAATTGGCAGTTACTGTCTCCAGGAGAGGGGAAATCAAAGGCAATAGGGAAAATTTAAACAAAGTCTAACAGGCAGAGGAATGGAGAGAACACAGGTTTCTAGGCCTTGTTCAAATTTTGTTGAAATGACATGAAACGAAATTGAGGTAATAAAAATTTTATAGTTAAGAGTGACATATCAAATAAAAGATTGTCTAAATTAATTACTGCTGTATCTCTATATTCTTCTTCAAGATTCTGCTCATGAGGGTATCCCATTCATCCTCATGTATAAGCCCTTCCTGTGGTGGTTGGAGGGAAAACATAGCCTGGGCAGCCAGCTCTGGGGAAATGGAGACATGACCCCAACTTGCTGCTGATGATCTGCCCACTCAGCATGGGCTCTTCTCCCTGCTCACCCACTGCCTTCCCTTCATCTGCACCCAAGACCCTGTGCTGCCTACAGCAGCTCTTCAGGTTTTCCTCTCCCTTGTTTTTTTTTTTCCTTGTTTTGAACCAAATTCTCTATCTCCCTTTTAATAATTGGCAAGTGGAAAACTAAAAGAAGATATAACTAATTGTAATCCAATGGGAATTCCTTAATCTGATTCTTAAGGTTAATGATTAATGTTAAGGTGCTTTAGTTAAATTTTAAGCCCATTATCAATGGCTACTGATAAATAACGAATGATTTACCCCCTCTGGAGATAAGGCCTGTTTGTATCTGAACCTAAAGATACAATCGCCCACACTGAGAACTGCAGGGCTTCCCAGTCACATCACACAGGCGTGAGCTGACAGAGCCACGTCTGCACCTAGTCAGTGCCCCGTGTGTCCTGCCAGGGAGAGTCCCCACTCACCTGAATTCGAACTTCATGTGCCTTGGGGGGAGCTACCTCAACCTCTTCTATGCAAAGGGGCTTGTTTGCTTCCCAGGCGATGGCTGCTTTGCATTTGATAACCTGGGAGAGAGAGAGGGACAGAGTGAGAGAAGTGGAGAGAGAAGGGAGAGGTTGGGGTGGAAGATGGGAGGGAGGGAGACAGAAAGAGAATATTATGGGAAAAAAGTAAAAAGCATGTTGATACCATAACTTGTGATTGGATGTTTTATATAATTACATTGAAGAAAAGGAATGTTCATTGAAAATAAGAAATCATGATCTACATTATAGTCATTGCACTTTTTTTTTTTTAAAAAAAGAGTAGTTTATTGATTATTTAGAGAGAGGAAGGGAGAGAATCATTGATCTGAGAGTGATTGGCTGCCTTCCGCAGGCCTCTCTTCAGGAATCGAACAGGCAACCCTTTATGCACGGATGATGCCCAACCACTTGAGCCACACTGGCCTGGGTGCCCTTTTAATTTTTGAAAAGAATAAATGCATTAAAGTTTACCTTAATATAATGCTTTGATCTTTTCTCCCTTCAGTAACAGAGAGGATAAATTCATAGGGTTTGGCCAATAAGTATTTATTGACTGAACGATTTGTTATCAGCTCTGAATTACCTGAGTCCTCATTGCTAGAACGTCAATGTGTTTTTACATGTTTGCTACTCATAGTATGATCCTCCCTTGGACCAGAAGTTATTGATATCACCAGGGAACTTAGAGCTACAAGCCCTGTCCCAAATCCCCTAATTAAGAATCATCATTTGAACAAGATCTAGGTGTCTCATATGCACATAAAAGTTTGAGAAGTGAGGCTTAAATAATTAGTAAAATTATCAGTAGAATATAAATTAAATAAAAAATTGGTCTTTTTGCAAGAATTTGGGTAAAAATGTATAAAGAGAAATTAAGTAGTATTTTATAAGTTAATTTTATCAATTAAGCAAGATTCTATAATTAAAATTTTATTTAGGCTCTTAACATTATATTTTTAAATATAAATACCATTGAAAAAAGTAAAAAGAAAAAACCTATAATTCTCCATTCTAATGCTACTATTTCTGCTTTTGATGTGATTTTCCCAGCCTCTGACAATATGAATATGTATATTTTTTTACCATTATTATGTAATTTCGTATTATATTTTAAAATATCATTAATCTTATTTACAAATGCAATATATAGTAACTATGGGAAGTTTCAAAATACAAATAAGAAGTAAAGAAATAAAATCCACTTGTAATTTTATGAGGTAAATCCATTGAGTGAACCCTAAATGGGACCTTTTTGTATGTGATATTTTTAATCTACTTATTAATATACTATGAATATTTTACATATTGTCCTCTAACACTACTTTTAACAAATGCAAATGCTATTTTATGGTTAGAGCATAGTTAACCAAATCTCTCTCTCTTTTTTAGCCATTATAAATAATATTTAATTTAACACCCTTGTAGTTAGCATTATGGCAAATCCACAATCATTTTCTTAGAGTAAATTTCTAGCATGAAGGGGGTGCTTTTGATTAACTTTAAATGGATTCCTTTCTGAGATTAGCTTAAATGGAAGCTTTTTAGCAAAAAATATACAAATAAAGAAGAATTGAACAAAGAAACAGTACATTTGCTTACTTTGCCCTTGGTGCCCATTTTTCTTTAGGAAACTTGCCTTGGAAGCTTGTCTCTGATTTAAGAAGTTCTTTCACTTCTGTCCAGGATGCTTTCTCTGTATCTTGGATTGAACTGCCATTGAATAAATACTATCCCTGCTCTTTTATTCTCCAATCACTTTCCTTTTTTGTTGGTATGCATCTCTGCTGATATTTCATCATGTCATTTGTGCTATCGTATTTCAACTGTAAACAGCCTTTGCTCCCAGCCATTATTTGGAGGAGATTTTTGTTTACTTTTTTCCTTTTACTGGAAAACTAGAGGCCTGGTGCATGAAATTCCTGGATTTGGGGCAGCGGGGTCCCCTCAGCCTGGCCTGCACCCTCTCGCAGTCCAGGAGGCATAAGGGGATGTCCGACTGATGGCTTAGGCCTGTGGAGAATGGGCCTAAGCCGTCAGTTGGACATCTTTAGCACTGCCATGGGGGCAGGAGAGGCTCTCGCCACCGCCGCTGCCCTCGCCAGCCATGAGCCTGGCTTCTGGCTGAGTGGTGCTCCCCCTGTGGAGCTCCTGCATTGAGCGTCTGCCCCCTGGTGGTAGTGTGCATTATAGCGACCCGTCATTCCACTGTCGGGCCGAAACCGGCTCTCTGATATCCCCCGAAGGGTCCGGGATTGCGAGAAGATGCAGGCCAGGCTGAGGTACCCCACCAGTGCACAATTAGGGCAGGGAAAGGACGCAGGAGATTGGCCAGCCAAGAAGGGACCACAGGAGGGCTCCAGGGTGTGTCTGGTCCATCTTGCTCAGTCCCGATCAGCCGGAGCCCAGCAGCAAGCTAACCTACCAGTTGGAGCATCTGCCCCCTGGTGGTCAGTGCACGTCATAGCGAGTAGTTGAGTGGCCTTAGCATATTCTGCTTTGATTGGTTGAACGGCCAACCGGATGACTGGACACTTAGCATATTAGGCTTTTATTATATAGTATATAATTTGATAGGTAAAAGTTTATTACATTTACATATGAGTTAACACAAATTATAAAGGACATTCCCACTGCTTCAGAATCCTTCCTGTGCCCATCCTTTTCCTTCACAACCTTAATAATTATTTCTTTGCATTTTTATGACTTATGCTCCTTTATAAGTATTGTGTAGTTTTACTTAAAAACTTTATATGAATGAAATCTTAGTGTATGTATTCTTTCATGACTTTTCTCTCAACTATATGTTTTTCTCACTCACATTGCTTGTAGCTGTTTATTTTCACTATCACTTATTTTCCTTTTTGTTTTTTTTCCCTTGTGATGAATCAATGGTTGCATTGAAAAGTTTCCTCAAGGAAAATTCAGGACTAATATGCAACCAGTACCCACTATTCAGGTGATGCCAACAGTTAAAATAGAAATATTTTTATTCCTGTTGGTAAAAAGCCAGTCCCTTTCAACTGTGTCGCAGCCTGGGGAGCCCTGTTGAGGAGCTACTCATGGCTCTCTGGATGTGTGAGCTCATCATCCACCTCCTGATGGTTCTGGGTCTCTGGGTCTCTGGGTCTCTGGGTCTCTGGCTGTGCTCAGTGGAGTAGTCCCTGGATGCTGGTAGTCAAGTACCTGTTGCCCCATATGACCTTATGTGGCTGTGACCACTGGTGCTGTGGGCCAGAGGTCCTCTGGAATCACACTTGCTTGGCTGTTTGTGGGAAATGGAGTGCCCCAGGAAGTTTATTAAATATCCTATCTAATAATAGACAAACATGGTAATTAACTATACCTCCGCTACGCTTCCCATTGGCTAATCAGGGTGATATGCAAATTAACTGCCAACCAAGATGGCGGCTGGCAGCCAGGCAGCTGAAGCGAACAGGAGGCTTGCTTGCTCCAGTGCTGGAGGAAGCCAAGGTTCCCCACCTGCCGCGGCCCAGCTCTGAGCTGCACTCTAAGCAACAATGTTGCAATTATAGAAGCTAAACAATCTCCAGATACCTGCTTTCAGCCAGCCAGCCTTGGAGCTGGAGCTGCAACAAAGTTTCAATTATAGAAGGTAAATAAATCCCAGAATAAAAAAAAGAAAAAAA